AGTGTTATTTTTTTGTAGAGATGGGGTCTTGATATGTTGCCCAGGCTGATCTTGAACTCCTGGCCTCAAGCACTCTTCCTGCCTCAGCCTCCCATAGTGCTGAGATTATAGAAGTGAGCCATCATGCCCAACCTGCTCTGAGTAAAACCTCGACTTACCTTTGGCTCCTCTTTCTCTCTCATGCCTATATCCAATTAATCAGCAAGTCCTGTCAGCCTCTCCTTGGGAACATATCCAGAACCTGACCACTTCTCACCAGCTTTACTGCTATGGCTTTGTATTAGTCAGGGCTAGCCAGAGAAATAGAATAAATAGTATATATGCATATATTAATAGACAGGTAGATATCTGTCTCTATATAAAGAGATCAAATATATATATTGTAAGGAATTGGCTCATACAATTACAGAGGCTGAGAAGCCCCAAGGTCAGTGGACAGCAAGCTGGAGACCCAGAAGAGCTGATGGCCTAGTTCTAGTTTGAGTCTGAGCCTGAGAAGCAGAAGAGCCAATGGTGTCTGAGTCCAGTCTCAGTCCAAGGTCAAAGGCAGGAGAAGACTAATGCTTCATTTCAAAGACAGTCAAGCAGAGATAGCTTACCTACTCAGCCTTTTTGTTCCATTCAGGCCTCCAGTGAATGATCACACCCCTCTCCCCCAATCAGGAAGGGCTATCTGCTTTACTCGGTCTACCCATTTAAATGTTAATCTCATCAGGAAATACCCTCACAGACACACCAAAAATAACGTTTAACCGAATATCTGGGCAGCTCATGACCCAGTCAAGTTGACACAACTAATTAGTCATCACAGCTTCCTAACTTGTTGATCTGCTTTTATCTTTGTCCCTTAATCTATCCTCAACATAACTGGATTTTTTTAAAAAGCCTCATTATTTAGCTCCTTTGCTAAAAATTCTTCAACCTTCTCATCTCAATGTGAAATTAACATTGGACTATCATGACCACCAAGGCCCTACATGCTGTGTTCCCTCTCCTAACCCCACTGCTGTCACTCTTCCCCCACTCTTTCTGTTCTGCCCGCAGTGACGTTTCTCCAAGAAGCCAAGCATGCCTCTGCCTCAGGGTCTTTACATCTGCAGATCCCTAGGCTTGAAATGGTCGTATTCCAAATATCCACCTACTTTCCTCCCTCAATAACTTTCTTATCTAGAGCCTTACAGTAAACCCATTTTTAAAAATACAGCACCCATCCCTCTTATTTTACTTTCTTAAAAAATTAACTGTGTTCTTTTAGAACAGTTTTA